TCGACATATAACATATAAGTACACATACAAATAATCAGACGGTATCACAGGTAGTCCTATAGATCTACCAGACTATCATATCAACTGGTATACATCACTAACTCATACTCAACATATCAATAATTACTAGGATATTAAATCCAATGGGCCGACATTGGTGCCTTAGACCCCTTTGTATAGTGAGGACAACTCACATCGCACTGCTGAAGTCCCACAGGTAAAACCCTAGTTACTGGATGGCAGATTCCCGAACTGTCAACATGAAAACAACACCCAATAGATAATTGGGTTCCAATACCTAACCATAACTCCATGCTTGGGGTAAAAGGATAATTTATCCCCAACCTAGCTTGATTCAAGCCCAAGGACCAACTCACACTCCAAAGACCTAAAAGTCAACCAATGGACCAAAGCCCAACATATGGCCCAATTTTCCAAATTGGGCCCAAACCTGTTCATGGTCTCATCTTTAAGGCCCAATTATTTATCCTAGTCCCAACACTTGGCATTCGGATGGCCCAATATCTCAAAATCATCAAGGCCGAATTGTGGCCCAATTTTCCAAATTAGGCCTAAATCCCTCATATGGGCCTTACCCTAAAGCCCATCATAATATTTTAGTTCATTTACTTGTTCTTGGATAGCCCATTAACAGCCCAAACACCAAAGCCCAATAGAAAGGCCCAACTCAAGGCCCAAGCAAAATTAGGGTTTTCACTTAAAATGACAATTAGGGTTAAGGGTTTCTTACTTAACCCATTAAGTACTTAATCGATTAAGTCCATCAATCCACTAGGCCAAACATAGAATGTGATAAGGCTTAATTCAAAATTCGAATTCAATGTCCAAAATACGGGTCCCGATAGTTCTAAAACTAGCATATCCAAAATTAGGGTTTTTCTAAACCCTAATTAGGGTTTCCAACTCAATCGCATGCCCACTAGTCAAAAGGTTAGGTTTTTGGTAAATTAGGGCTTCATTAGGTCAATAGGATTTAATAAGTCGGGCACCACCCACTACCACCACGGGTAGTGGCAGTCAATGGCGGCTCACGGCGGCGACCACCACCTCACGATGGTGGTTATGGTTCTAGTCTAATTATGTCCAAGGATCACAAAAGCAAACTATTCACGAGCCACACCGCCACCCAACACGATGGCTGGTGGCAGAAGGAGGCGGCAGCCACCACCTCACGGTGGTGGTTATGAGTTTTCTTGATTAAACTAGCACCGATTACGATTTACAACGCAAAATTCCAGATAACACACACACAACCACCCTTGTGGTTGCCAGCGGTGGTACATGGTCACAGCCACCACCTCACGGTGGTGGCGGTGGCTTTTCCATGAACTTCGGCCAAACAAAACACCATACACGACATGTACATCAACCAAAGAGACATACACATGCGTCTTTGCTCAAAAAGCGAACCCAACACCCACTTGTGGTTGGCGAGGATGACATTGGGCGAAGCAGCCGGAAACAGCAGCGCTTATGGCGTTTCACAGGCAACAAGAGGTTAGCGTCCGGTGACCACTCTGTCTTCAATGGGTACGGGAAGCGGCGGTGGCTGACTCTACTTGAACGATGTCCTAATGCAAGTTTTTTCCCTCAGCCACAGTGGAATGGTAATAATGAAGTTATCCCAGCTTCCCAAGTGTGGTGGTGGTATAGACTTGTGTTTTTCGCTACCTATCCCGACGACATGTTGCTGGTATAGACTTTCAGAATATTGCGAACAATTTTGTCATTCCTGTCGGACTTGTAGAAACGACATATCGCCGACACAGATATGGTAAAAAGAATTTAGTCAATGTTTGTAAAATGTATGGCGACTACATGTCGTCAACATAGCTGGACTTGTAGCGATGACATGCGTCATCGGGATAGGTGTCGTTGTCATACCTCTGTATTCTTGTAGTGTGGCTAGAGGTGGATGGTGGCAAGGGTGGGAGAGAAGTAAGAGTGACATATGGTGGTTTTTGGTGGTGATGGGTGGTGGTTAACGGTGGTGACAGGTGGTGGTTTTTGATGGTGATAAGTGGTGGTTGATAGATTTGAGAAAGAAGAAGATAAGAGATATAATAATGGTGTCGGTAGTGTTTATATTTAATTTAACAAATTTTTAATAGATTAATAATTAACAATTAATAAACAAATCAAAAAAGAAATAAATAAGGGCAAAATGGTCTTTTTATGTGCGTGGGGACTAAGCGTGAAAGAAAAAACACCTCAAGGGGAGGTTGAAGTTAATTTTTGAAAACAAAGACTAAACACGCTTTTTGGCATGTACACGAGAGACGATTGGTGTAACTGACCCAAAACAATTCCCACACGTCACTTGGCGCAACTAAATGGCTAGTGTGTGTATGTGTGTGTATTATATATATATATATATATATATATATATATATATATATATATATATATATATATATATTATATATATATATATATATATATATAAGGACAGGTCATATTGTGGACAACAAATATTGTGTAGTCGTAGGAACGATTCTAGACAAAAAGAATAAATTGATGTGATTTAGGGTGTATTGTATTACAATGGGTGGGCATGTACGATATAGTCACAATAATATCATTGTAAGGGTATTACAATGGGTGGGCATGTACGATATAGTCACGATTCTTTGAATTTTAAAAATCTTATTTTAGGGAAAAAAAAATTATTTGGTCGTTCGGAAAGAATATTTTTATGAGTACGGTGAATTATGATAAAAATATATTGTGATAGAATATATATTCTGACAGAATTAACATCTTGAAAAATAACATGATTTTTACCATCATATAAAGAATAACTACATTATATATGTTCATAAATTTCCAAACTTAATGAAAATGCATACATATTCTTACAAATAGTAGACGCATAGTATGTATATTCTAACAAAATACAATGACAAAAAAGAATAAAAAAAAATCCATCTCAGCAACCCCTTATTCTGTTTCTCGTGATTGAACTCGGCCCTTTCCTTTTGTTTTGCAGATTTGAATAATACATTCTTGAAGAATAAATTCTTGAAGAATGCAACCTGGATTGCATATTCAAAAAGGACACTAACACCTGTGACATAGAATTTGGAGTGTTCTATCAATTATCAAATGCAAATAATCGAAAGTCTGTTCATTTCCTGCTATTAATTTATCTAAGTAGACCCTAAAATTTTGTTATTAAAATGAAAAAAATAAAAAATAAAAAAATAAAAAAATAAAACTTGTTTTCAGAAGTGCTTTTAACTTTCAGAACGCTTTGTTTCATTGCATATTCCTTCATTTATATCTAGATAGTATTAGTGCAAACTAGCATTAACAAAAAGGATATTCTAGATAGTGTTCGTGTGTTTGTACATTAACAGCCATGTAAGTAGACAGGGTTTCATTAATTACGCTTATGTTGGTTTAACAAACACTTGCTTGTGTATATATTTATGCGTATTTTATAATCTGTTATGATGATAAAGTAAATCAACATTTGGATTTGATAGAATTTATAATTCTTAAATTTATATGGCGGCTCTTGGTTCAATTCACAAATTATGGCCTATTGCATGACTTAGAATACAAATTAGTTACAAATAAGAAATAAGAGAAGAACTACATTAAATTATGGATTGTAGAGTTCCGAATCCTAAAAGCATCTTCTTTTATGAAATTGGCAAAGGTATAGGTCAAATATATATCAAAATCCAAATACTATATAAAAAATTAAAATTGTGTACCATTTTCTGATTTTAATTATTTTTCTGTCATCGATGATGTGCTCCCAAACTTCGATTCAGTAGATTGTGCAGAAAATTAGCCTCACATCGATTTTAATTGAAAAAAAAAGTCGAGATAATCTTGATTGTATAGCAAACCGACCACGTCGTTTATGGATCCAATTTAAGGCTTAAATTGGTGAAAATTGAAATTAAATGATGTGATGGTGGATTCTATGTATGGTGGAAGCAAGTAGTGGTTGGCAATGGTGTTGGGCAGCGATGTTGGAAGGACGGTGGGGAGGGAGGCGGAGATCGCAGAAGATTGTGAAAATGAAAGTGTAGGTTATGCATTGCATCCTTCATTCCTTAAATAATGAATTTAAAATAAGATAATAGTTTGTTTCCTAATTTATAGGGCATTAAGTTATATAATAATTAATTTGATTTACCATTTTACTATCATAACCTTATTTATTTAATTTAATGATTTATTTTTTTCAGAATTTTCATTGTTCCCTACGTCCGCACAACAATTGTGCATCCATATATGAACCTAGTTCTCTCTCTCTCACTATATATATATATATATATATATATATATATATATATATATATATATATATATATATATATATATAAGAAATGTTTCAAAATATAAAAAGTTATAAACTGAAAATAAGTTTTAAAAAAAGGACAAAAGATGTAATAGTGCAAGTATTTGTGTGAAAGGTCACACGGACACGCATTAGAAGGTTGTTTTTTGATGTATGTCAAATAAACTAAGATTTTATAGATACATTCATGAAATTTTCGTTGAAATAACAACACATGTATGTATTGTGCTCAAAAGTCTTTCATGACAGTCCTTTAAAATTGCAACTAATTATGGAGAGATGGGATGTCACCTGTAAAACATGTGAAATGTATTTGATTGATAATAGTATGTCATTCAATGTATGTACTGTGTCAAAACTCTTTAATTAGTTACTGTTAACGAGTACAGCTAATTATGATGACAAGACTGACTAGTACCTGAATTTATATTGACCGACTTGTATGATTAACATTTTAACAGACTTTTACTGGTTAGAGTAGAAATTGGGTTGACTAACAGCCGCTGGTATTTGAACTCTAGCTAATAACTTCACCTCAGGCTCAAATGTGAGTAGTATAAAACCTAATGCTGGTGATATGTTTCTGCATATTTTATAATACTTGTCATCTCTTTTAATTTTCTCTCTTTATCTATCTCTTTGTCCAAATCTTGTACAAGTCATGAGCTTCACACAAACTCAGAGTTTCGGAAGGTTTCTGGTGCTCCTGTGTTTCTCTTTGATAATAACAATCTCATCTGGAGCCACCACCATTTCTGCGAACCAGCCTCTGTCTGGAGACTACACAATAATATCTGAAGGTGAACAATTTGAGCTGGGTTTCTTCAAAGCAGGTAACTCTGCCAACTATTACATAGGCATTTGGTATAAGAAGATCAAGTCCAATCCTCCCACCATAGTTTGGGTGGCAAACAGAGAAACACCAATCTCTGATAGATTCCGTTCAGAATTAAAAATCATTGATCGTAATTTGGTGCTCTTGAATGAGTCCAAGGCCCAGATTTGGTCCACAAATGTCACAACCACCACCACCACCACTTTGAACTCTGCAACAGCTGTTATTCTTGATAATGGTAACTTAGTTTTGAGAGACTCCGGTTCAAATTCAATTGAACCTTTTTGGCAAAGTTTTTACCACCCAACTCATACTTGGTTGCCTGGTGCTAAATTTGGTTATGATAATAGAACAAAAAAGAACCAGGTTCTTACATCATGGAGAAGCAAAGACGATCCTGGTGTAGGATTCTTCTCTTTCGAGCTTCAACCGTCTAGTAATGAGTATGTAATCAAGTGGAATGGCTCCCATTAATATTGGACAAGTGGTGCTTGGAATGGGAAAACATTTGACTTAATACCTGAAATGAGGTTGAATTATATTTACAATTTCAGCTATCATATGAATGAGAATGAGAGTTACTTCACTTATTCTGTGTATAATCCTTCCATTATATCTAGAAATATAATGGATGTTTCTGGTCAACTTCAGCAACTAACATGGTTGGAAGCTACCAAAGAGTGGAATTTATTTTGGTCTCAACCTAGAAAGCAGTGTGAGGTCTATGCATTATGTGGGTCTTTTGGGATTTGCCGGCAGTCTGGATTACATTTTTGTAATTGCTTGACTGGATTCAATCCTAGATCAGAGAGTGAGTGGAATCAGAGTGGTTTCTCCAGTGGGTGTGTGAGAAAAACCGATTCCCAGTGTTAGATAAACACGGAAAAGCAAGATTTTCTCAAGATTAGGGTCAAGAATCTGCCTCCAAATAACTCTGTAGCAGTTGGGAGTGCTGGTGAATGTCGTACCACCTGTATGAATGATTGCTCGTGTAATGCTTACTCATTTGTCGGTACTCAATGTTTGGTTTGGGATGGAGATCTCTTGAACCTCTCAGAAGACGATGGTAGTTCCAATACAATCTACATTAAAGTTGCTTCTAAGGATCTTCTTCATCCTAAAAAGAGTAATCCGATCACGGCCAGTGTTATTGCTTGGTTGGTGGGAGGTGTGATTCTTGTCTTGGGTCTAATTTTGGGTTTATTCTATGTAAAAAAGAGGGTATCGGTGGCAAAGATGGAAATGGTAGGATCGCTGGTGGTGTTCGCCTACAAAGATATAAAAAGAGCCACCAAAAATTTCTCAGACAAATTAGGAGGAGGTGGTTTTGGCTCCGTTTTTAAGGGGGTACTTCATGATTCATCCATTGTGGCAGTGAAAAAGCTTGAAAGCATTAGACAAGGAGAGAAGCAATTCAGGAGCGAAGTTAGCACAATGGGTATAATCCAACATGTTCATCTTGTACGTCTTCGTGGGTTTTGTGCAGAAGGTAACAGCAAGTTATTGGTGTATGATTACATGGAAAAAGGTTCTCTAGATACCTATCTTTTCTGTGGAAAACAAGTTCTAAACTGGGAAACGAGGTATCAGATTGCACTTGGAATTGCAAGAGGCTTGGTTTATCTTCACGACAAGTGCAGAGACTGCATCATTCACTGTGGCATAAAGCCAGATAACATTCTTTTAGATGCTAATTTCCAACCAAAAGTTGCTGATTTTGGGCTGGCAAAGCTTGTTGGTAGGGACTTTAGTAGGGTGTTAACAACTACAAGGGGGTCAATGGGGTATCTAGCGCCAGAATGGATATCTGGGGTGCCCGTCACAGCTAAAGCAGATGTTTATAGCTATGGAATGATGCTTTTTAAATTAGTTCATGGAAAGAGAAATGTCATGCATTGTGAATATTCAAGCAGTACATTCTACCCAGGTTTGGTTTCAAATGTTCTTATGAAGGGAGGTGATATCCTTAGCCTGCTAGACAGTAGGTTGAACAGGGAAGCTTGTGTTGAAGAAGTCACAAAAATTTTCAAAGTTGCATGTTGGTGTATCCAAGATGAGGCAGAGAGTAGGCCTGCCATGAGTCTGGTGGAAGGGATTCTTGAAGGGGTCTCAGATGTGAGCATGCCTCCAATCCCCCAAATTGTGAATTTATTTGTTGAGAACACGGGGGATGTTGTTTTCTTCACTGATTCACCCTCAAACGAGTGTTCACTAGCACAGAGCAACTCTTCGCGTGGTGACCCCCAATCAAAGAGCTCATCATCTTAAAGGTTATTCTCTATCTTCTCTGTTATGTTCACATTAGACATTATATCGTGGTAAAAATAGATGACTCGTTGACGTTTTGTTGCAAATAGATGACAAATATTGTAAAAGTATGCTACACTCTACTAAAATGTATTCTGAACATATATGTGTTAAGAATGATGATTTCTTTGTGTTTACATATTTACAACTGTTCAAAACTGCTTAATGGCCTTCTTTATGTTAACTTGGGTCCGGTTTGCTATGTATACAGATAATAATGGCCGGGAGAAATAGGCCCGCCCTAGAACGTGGATGATAGGGGAACTGTCTAGGGCCCAATTTTTAAATGGGCCCAAAAATTTTATAACAATTGTTATATTTAGAAGATAGTACAGGGCCGGACGCATGATTTTACAGTATGGGTGTCACGAAAAAGTCAAGGGTTGCACGATAGTAGAAAAAAAATAAAATTTTCAAAAAATTTTGAAAATTTTTCCACTGCTTCCGGAAAAGTCAACGATACTACTACTGACCCAACCTAAATGCACCCCGGATAGTATAACTAATTTTCTTTTAATTATTGAGTTATTATAAAACATTTGATGACATTTGCGTATTTTAAGGGCTCATTTTTTTCTTTCCCACTGGGCCCAAAATATGTTTGGAATAGCCCTGCTGAGAATGCGGATCAGTCTAGAATAAAAGCTGCATTTCATTGCACACAATCATTCTAACAACTCAATCGTTCATGTTTATATAGTTAACGTGAAAGACCCTCACTTTCATAATACTAAATCAATTTGTTACTCCAAAACATGCTATATGCATATTCACAAATAAGGAACAACAAAGTCATATATGAATCATGTGACAAACTTTCCATATTAATTAATGACTTGATTCAAAGATATACAATCAATGAGACATAACAATTTTCAAACTTGATATACATCAATAAAGCTTCGGCCCAAATGGCACAGAAGACATACAAATTCTGATCAACATTTTGGTAGATTTCAGGTTTATAGCCCTTTCTAACCATTTGCCAATACCATATAATAGAAGTGATTCTCTTACGGAGACATGCTCTACATGGTTAGAGGCTACATACCAATACCACCGTAACTCTAAGTCCTTTCACTGATCACATGATCAAAGGTATAACTTTGCTATGATAAATAGCGGAAATAATAACAACTGAAAAGTACATAGCACATATAGCACATAACATACAATTGTTCATATATATTGAAACTCACCGTGAATTAACCGGGGGTCAAAATAGTAATTTGTTCAACACTTCGTTCCTATAAATAACTTTCTTCTATAAGAACCGGGAGCTTTCTTGAAAACCGGGCTCTGCGAAGGTAGAGCTTCAAACCGAAAAGTTAAATTTCTTGGGGTCTTTGGGCACTTTGGGGCGTGTTTCGGGTATTCAAATTGATACCGGTGTTTCGGGGGATGTCAAAATAGTGAAAATATTGAAAAAGTGGTGAAAAATGGCAAAAATCCAAAAGTAGCGGGAAGATCTTGTAGGCCTCCCTTTTGTAGGGTGCGAGCTTCGTATCCGAGGGTTAAGAAGCGAACACGCGACAACACATGCGAGAGCCAAGTGGCAGCTGCGAGACTCGGACACGCGAAAGGAAGGACAAGGCTCGGACGCGACACGGGGCGAGGCGCGTCGGACGGAGATAGGCTTCGGCTTCGGTCCAATCCAACAACGACACACGTCGGTTTCGGCGAGGGTGAGTCACAGCATCGGACACGGGGCGAGCTCGCATGAAGGGTTACGTGGCCGAACCTTATCCATGCGAAATTTCTCGGATTTTGCAATTTTCTCGATTTTTGCCCCCCGAACTTCTAAATTACATAACTTTCGCATACGAGCTCCATTTTCGACGTTGTTTATATGCACGCGTAGGTAAAATTATGCTCTACAAATTTTGTTTAGACTTCGTCAGCTAATTTTGAGTTCAATTTTAATATTATTATTTCTAACAGACCGGGACAGAAAAAATCCTTTAAAAATTCATAACTTGTTCATCTGACATCCGTTTTTGTCACACTTTTTACCGTTGTACTACTACTGACAAGACCTTCAATTCTCGTTTAGGTTGTGTCGGCTAAATAACGCTCGATCTTTATTTTGAGTTTTTAGCTGTCTACTGCTATTCCGAAACATAGAAAAATCATAACTTCCTCATACGAAACCAAATTTAAAAGTTCTTTATATGAAAGTTTATTATTCTAACGAGTTCTACAACTTTCTTTTAGATCACTAAGGCTAAAAAAAAGTTTATCGGAAACTCAATTTTTACATGACATAGTGTTTGCTATTTTTATCGCAGATCTTCGATTGGTCATAACTTCTTCGTTATAACTCGAATTTCGATGAGGTTTTCGCCTAAATGCTTTTAACGAGATTATTTACAACATTAAATAATAAAAATTTACTTATTTCAAATTTTATATTTTTGCTAAATTTCACTATTTGGCTCTTAATTGGAATCTTCTAAGACTTCCAATACTTTCTGAATGATTCTAAGCATAGTTTACTTCATTTCTAGTAAAAACCATCTGTTAGACTCAACATTCAAATTCACATAATATTTCGTAATATTATTCACTTTTATAATTTACAATATAGGATAACTAAACGTGTATGTTACATAACGTTTGTTTGATATCCAAAACATGGTATTCTATATGCATCAGATCATTTCCTACTAAGTAAGGTTTATCATTACCGATCTTTTATTATTTGTTTGTGCCATTTTTTTCCTTATTTATATTTTGAGTTACTTGAAGGAATAATGTTACTAGATAGTAACCAAGTTTCACAATCGTTATATATAGGAACCTCAATTTTTTTTCTCAATAGGTTTAACCTCTCAACTTTGATATCTTGTATTTTATTATAGTTCTAGATTGTTATTCAGATATTTCCCACACCAACCCAACAAAAATTTGATTTCTACATGTTTTCTAATTTTTAGGTTGTTCCAGTAACCGGTAAACATCATGACAAACAATTCTTTTATGGGTACCATGAATTGCCATATAGGGCATGGAGATAATTCGAATCTGTGAACTTGTACTTTGTGTGATGTGTAGCACAATACCCTTTGCACCATTTCTTATGGAAATCATTAACATCTATTGGAAGAAAGTATCTTAGGTTTTTATGTGTAATTGTTGAAAGTATAGATTTTATTCTTTATCAAACTACTGAAGTTGTCTAAATGAGTTGTAGCTATGTTCTATATATGTTTCTCATTGAATTACATTACGTTGGGTGATTTATTCTGTATGTTTAAGAGATCTTTGTAGTGCGTTTTCGTGTAATAGATATTTCATTTTTTGAGTTTAATAATATATGCTAAGAATAAGTAGAAGTTTAAGTATCTTGGTTGGGTTGTATTTTTTTTTTTGGTATCAGAGCAACTACCTGTGTGACAGAACTTTATTTGTTCATCAGCATTTTGAGAGTTTATGAATCTCTATGTCAGAGGACATGAGAGTTAAGTGTTATATATAGGTAAATAAATTACATGAACACCCCTTTAGCTAATGAATAAATACATAATAGTACGACAACTATATTTGGCTAATATCCCCCTTCAAGCGAATCGGTGGCAATCCAAGGTGAAGCATGTGACAAAAATGCTCAAAATGTTTCCATGGAAGGCTCTTAGTAAAGATGTCGTAGTGAAGCTTGGTAGGAACAAACATGATAACGAGTTTCCCGGATACAACGAGTTCACGAACAAAATGGTAGTCAAGATCGATATGTTTGGCACGCTTATGAGACACTAGGTTTTGTGTAAGAAATAGGGCACTCTGATTATCACACAAGATGGTCGGACAGCTAGTGGGAAGACAATGAAGCTCACATAACAAGTGAGTAATCCATATGCGTTCGGCAGTTGTGTTAGCCATGGCTCGATATTTAGATTCACAACTGGAGTGAGAGACCGTGGGTTGCTTTTTTGGCACTGCAGGATACAAGATTACCCCCAGGAAGATCGAGTACCCATAGGTGGATCGACGCGTATCAAAACAACGAGCCCAATCAGAATAACCGACAAGATTCATGGATGTGGGTCTCGAAAAAGTAAGACTATAGGAGAGAGTGCCCTTAACATATCGGATAAGCCGCTTGACCACCTGACAGTGATCAATAGTAGGAGCTTGAAGAAATTGGCTAACTTGATTAACGACATAAAAAAATCAAGACAGGTGATGGTCAAATATTGCAAAGCCCCAACAAGAGAGCGATAATGGTTCGGATCCTCATAAAGTGTATCAAATGCAACAAAAGAGACACTCGGGGATAGAGGGGCCACAACGGTCTTCGACTCAAGTAGGCCGACACGGGAAACAATAGCATGAGCATACTTGGACTGACTAAGAAACAACCCGGACGGAAGATGCTTGGCTTCTAAACCAAGAAATTAGTTAAGGTAACCGAGATCCTTTATCTTGAATTCGATGTAAAGATTTGAGATAAAAGATCAAATAACATTCGAGTCAGAGCCTGTAAGGATAAGGTCATCCACATATACTAGTAAGTATAAGATACATGCACTATGTAACATCCGGACTCCCAGGTATCTTATTTTATGCTTTAATATTGAGTTTTGGAGAGAGACTCGGCAAGTAGGCGCTCAGACTCACCAAGTGGAAGCGCGGATGGTCAGACTGATTTAATGGCGGACTCGGCGAGTCGATGCTGTTTAATGAAACCCTAATCCCCGGGGTTTGAGACCTATTTAAAGGGGCTTGTAGCCACTATTTGCGGCTACCAGACCCTTGAGAGAAACCCTTATTGTGCTTGAGCGTTTGTGAGAGAGAAGAAGGCATTATTGGACCTTTGTGGGTTTGTTTGCAAGAAGAAGTTGATTCCAGCTTGGAGGAGGCCAAGGAGGTTGCATATTTGTAGATTTCAAGCAGAGGGCATCATCTTTGAGGTAGCATATCGACCCTCTTTCTGTTTTCTTAAAGCATCCATGGATCTAGGGTTTCCTATGCTCTTTATTGGGTTGATTTGTTGAGAATAAGGTCCCTTATCATGTTTAGACTTCAGATCTGGACCCATAATGGTCCAGATAAGGTTATCCATCTTGCTTTACGTTGGGTTATGGAAGAAATGAACTTAGAGTGTTCTTTTTGGGACTAAATCATCAAGTAGTGTCTTTTGGACATTGCATGTGTATCAAATTCAAACCTTTACGTGTTTATTAAGATTGGGGAGGTTAGACCTATGGATTAGAGGAACAGATCTGACCTCAGAAGATCATTTGAGTTTGAGCATGGCTTGAACTCGCCGAGTCCAAGAACAGACTCGGCGAGTAGGATGGTTTTTCCCCATAAATCACACAGATGGTAACTCGCTGAGTTGGGGAACCGACTCAGTGAGTCATTTGGGGTTTTGAGGTCGTGAGTCAGGACTGAACTCGCCGAGTCACAATTGTGCACTCGGCGAGTTTGGTCAAAGGGTTGACCGTTGACTTTTGTTGACTTTTGTTAAATTTTAGGGTTTGGTCAATTTTAGAGTATTTGAGCCTTAAGAGGGGTAACATGGTCTTTTACCCTCCTGAGAGTGCTAAGAGAGGGAATGGTGTAGCCATGGGGAATGTGTTATTTTCATATTATTAGGCGAAGGCTAGATCCTATTTCA